GGCTGAGGAACTCTGGGAGTTGAAGTCCACAAGTCTTAAAGTTGCCAAGGTTGGACACCCCTGATCTAAAGCTATTCAATTGACCTCGTAAGGAAGTTCTTTGCGAAGAGAACATAGGTAGTTTTGCGTGTCTGTTTAGAAACCAGGTCCAGATAATACAGCACGTATCAACTTTGGAAGCCACATTTTACTTATAAGCTTCCACGCTGCCACATTCTGCAGCCTGGGAATTTGGGAGGTGGGGAAATCTTACAGAGAGGTGGAAGTTTAGATATAACAACATTCTTCTTCTGAGTCAAGGACAAGCCATCCTGCACCTAGGAAAGGAGTGGTTGGAACACTGACATTATGGTTAAAAAGAGTTGACATAATTTTCAAAAAAGAGGATAATTTTTTAAAGTCAAATAGATTCTGGGCGTTCAGCGTTCTGCTCTTCTTAACAGAAAGAAGTGTGTTTGCGTTGATAAGACTCCACACAGAGGCAAGTACTGAAAGGCACAGACCAGCTAAAGGACAAACTATATAACACCTGCACCAGAAGCCCAAACTAAAAGTTAACTATTAATTCAGAAATAGCACAAAATAAAACCCGGGCGTTCCTTTAGTTCTTCCCTTCCTGGTGCCACATATTTTCCAATTCTCCTCTGACTAACAGAGGTGCAGATGCTCAGATAATATACATTCCATGTGTCATTGGTTGATTCAAGCAGCAAAGAGTTTTTGCATTGATTCAAATTGTCATGAGTTTAAAACCCTAGTCCTTTATGCAGAGAAGAAATGCACGGAAGTCTTTTTTTTAGATCCCGAGAATGCTCTCTTTTGCAAGACACAACTGGCAGACGGATTGTGGACTCTGGCCTCACACTTTCGGTGCAGCAAGGGAAACCACAACTGAAAACTGAGATGCAACCATCATTTGACTGAACTACTCAGAAGGGAAGGATTGTGCAGAGAGTAACTCTCTGATGCCCGAGAACCTGGCCTGCCTTAAAAACCCAACCACTGTCATTTCCAAGCTCACTTATTATGGTCTAGAAGCATCATCCAGAAGCATTTAGAAGTAGAGGGAGGGAGGAAGGGAGGAAGTAATACAGATATAGAAGAAAGGAAGGAAGGAATACAGATACGGAAAGGACAGATGGGTGGAAGGAAGATTCACTGAAGGTGAATTCATTGACTTTCTATGTTTCCAGAAACAGAGCTATGGCTTTATTGCCAAATCCAGCAAGTCTACAAGAGTTAGCTGGCAATAAGATAGCCACAAAATGGATCGTCTACCTCAAGGGTCTTCAAACTTGACAGCTTTAAGACTTGTGGACTTCAATTCCCAGAATTCCTGAGCTAACATGACTGGAGGAGGAATTCTGGGAATTGAAGTCCACAAGTCTTAAAGCTGTCAAGTTTGAAGACTCCTGTATCTACCTTGTGGCAGCTAACAACAATTTGGAGCTGATGTGAACATCAAACTCTTAGGTTTTTCAAGGACGATCTCTCTGAATCAACTTCCTCGGCCTGAATGAGTTCTAGAGGTACAGATACCAAGTTCCAGAGTTCTCAGGAGTGGCATGCTGGCTGGGGACTCCTGGAAGTTGGAAGTCCACATCCATCCTGAGGGCACCCAGACCGGGAAAAGTTATTCTAAATGGCATCAAAGGCAGCTTTGCAATGAGAAAGCTCATGATTGCTGCTTGTGATCTGATGTTCATGAGATCTTTGGAAAGCAGATTTAGATACTGGTGTGTGCAGTATGGATGCTGAAGACTGTCAAAACAAACTTGTCTTATTCTCACCAAGAAAGTGGAGATATTAAATCTTGCTTCACTAGTTCTTGAAGAGCAGAGTCAATTTCCTGGATACAATCTAAGGAAGGGCTCAAAATGGCTTGCTTCTTTCACTTGTTTGCTTTTTCATCATCTAAAAGATGCAAACCATCCAAAGGACCACAAGTGGGTTCATCCCAAAGAGTTTTTTGCCTGAACCTATAGATATGGATCACAACCACATGGGTGAATATGTGCTGTCAATGCTCCAAAACTGGGGACATGCAGGCGGGCCAATGACACCAACACTGGTCCAGTGGAAACTTCTCAAGAAGATGAGATTGGGAGGCTGGAAAAGGAAGAAGAAACTAGCATCCTAGCATCCAAGATACTGAACTGTCCCAGGATTCAGGGTTAGCTGCTTCCACGACTGTTAGTAGGCTATGCCCTCCCATTGTCATCAAAATGGAGTGAGAGTTGGTAGGACATCCCAGCTGCCTTGAAAGTTGGTTAAGCATTCCTCCTCCTTCTCATGCCTCACACAGACAAATGGACATACAACACATCCACACAACCCACGCATTCAACTTCATAAAGTCAGTACAGTGGTGTACCAATTGTCCAATGAGAATATGTCCATTCTTCTTGTTGTTGGAGACATGGCTGATACTATAAATTACCTTCTCTTTATAGACTATCTTATAGGCAACAGGTCAGTCCGCCAAAAGAGGCTGGAGAAGACTTAAGACTCATTTCTTGCAATCTTCTGTGTAGTGCTGGAAACGCGTGAAACTCATAAAGACTTGCTCCAAGGAGATTTGGCTTACGGAGTAATCTTCTATGCAATACTTCTCTTTGGCTTTTTCGAGTGTCCCAAACACCTGGGAGATGCAAGACACACAGGGAGAGAAAGGGGTAATTAACAGAATACCTCTTCCAAGGCTTAGAAGATATCAAGGCCAGTGTGGGAAAAGGAAGTTGGGAGTTCCTACTGAAGATCTTAGCTTTCACAGGTTGAGCTGTTCTAGATCCTCCCATGTTCGCCTTTGTACACCCCCATTGGCCATTGCTCCAGCCTTACCTGTGCCCAACTGAGGTTCTTATTGGTGAGGTGGTAATGGACCATTCCCTGGTGTTCATGCTTCAGGACACTCTCTGGGAAAGGGAAAAAAGAAGATATAGCCAAGTTCTGCTTCCCAAGACAACCACATTCCCTCAAAATCAAACTGCAATCGTTCTTAACTGTGGTCAATAATTTGTTGAAAGTCTCTGTCCTCGTTTCCTACCCTTGCCTTCCAGGTGCCACTCTGAATTTTAATGCCCCAATGAAATGTTCTGCAATAAGTAGAATAGACTGCAAATGTCCCATGCAGTCAATCCCATTAAGTAGACTAGTCCAGGGGTCTCCTCCAACGTTGGCAACTTTAAGACTTGTGGACTTCCAGAATTGCTGGATGAGGAATTCTGGGAGTTGAAGTCCACAAGTCTTAAAGTTGCCCAGGTTGGAGACCCCTGGACTAGACCAGTAAATCAATTTCCCAAGAAAGATTTTAAAAAGGTGCAAAGTATCAAGACCATGCGTTGAGTTGCAGTTCAAGATCTATTGCTCAAGTCAAATGTATATCCAAGAATCTAGTCAATTAAAGTTCAATTCTAAATTGGCACCAGATAAGAGTCAACAAAATATCAAGAGGGGTTGAACTTGGATGTTTCTGGCAATGTAATGACTCTAAGCTGATGACACACTTAACTCCCCCACCCCCTCCCCCAGCTGTGCCTGCTCTTCTCTACAGATTTGCTCTAATAACCAAATCTTGCAAGGCTGATTCTGTTGGACCTTCTCAATCCTTCATGCTTCAGGGAATCAGGGAACTGCCTGCCTGAATCACTTCTGAATGTTATCTTGTTGCTCTGGGCTTGTTTAACTCACCATCATGGTCATTAAATGAACAATTGTTTGCTATGGCCCAGTTTTACCAAAAACTGGAAATAAATGTCGGTTTTCAGCAAAAATGTTGTCAAATGTGCTCAAGTTTTGAACATATAAACAACCATAAATGCAAGTTGGTTGCCGGCCACTCAAAATGCGGTCATGTGATCACAGGATCTGGGGGCATGAAGTTGGAACTTCGAAAACAAAGTCGCAAGTTCCATCAATAACTTTGAATAGTCAACTAAGCCATGGGTCATAAGGACTACCTGTAGGTGGAAGGCTGGTCAGATACGAACAGCTGGAAGACATGCTTGATCCCAAAGCTGGCTTACCAGGAAATGTCTTCTCCACGAAGGCCTTGAAGTCTTCTACGTGGCCTTCTTCATCACAGTGGGTTTTGGCCAGCAGGGTATATCCACTGCCAAACTTGCTCTTCAGGTGCTGAGGGCTGCCCAGGCACTTGAACTGCCCGTTGACCATGATGGCCAACCTGGTACACAGAGCTTCACATTCTTCCATGCTGCAGGAGAAGGATGTAGATGTTAGAACAGCAAGCGCAAGACTCGTAACCCATCCAGAGTCACTCCATCGTGAGATGAGGGACATGTAACATCTATCTATCTATCTATCTATCTATCTATCTATCTATCTATCTATC